GTGAAACATCTTCCAAGTCCTGTTGCCTTCTTTTCAGCCTCATAAGACTGTTGCCTTCTCTGTTTTCACTGCAGATAAAATGAGATTCATTGTCTTGATCACCATCATTGTCACTGTAGCCCTTATTGGTGAAGGCAGCAGTATGATTGCAGAGCCTTCATCACCGTGTCAGGACAAAAGCCCCAAAAGTCATTATAAAGAATTTCTCAGCAGACACATCCTTCAAGAGGAATTTGACAGAAATTCCCTAGATGCTTGGAAAAGGTAAATTAAAAGTACATCATTCAAAAAAGTTTAGTTTTATTGTGTGCAGTAGGAAACAACCTTTAAAGGAACAGCTTACAAGCTCCAGAGGGTTACATGCTGCTACACCACACGGTGCTGCTTTATGAGCATCTTCATGTGATGTCATTAAACTCAGCATTTTATGTGTGTAGAAACTAGAAGGTTTAAAGTAATAATGTTGTGAAGGAATTGTGTTACAAATAAGCGAACAGATTTCTGTATCCTGGTCCACATCGAGGCTTAGTGTTTATCAGTGCATATTGTTACCTATTAGAGGAATTGTAACACTGGGAACATTAAAAAATATTGAAAACTAAGCAGAAGTTGTTTAGCAAGCTGAAAACTGGCCTACTATCCATAATGTGATAATACATACTGAATTATTGATCTATTAATGCAGGTATTTGAAAAAAGAACACCTCTGGTGCAGAACTACAGTGCAATCGTTCCTCAATAAAAGTGATCTGAAGAACGTGATCAGAATCTGCAGCAGAGACGGGCGACGCTTAAGCAAGACGGATAACTATGCAGGGAACTTGTGCATCAGCAACTCAGAGATGCTGATATATGAAGTCATATCCACAAAAAGCAACACGGATTGTAAAATTACAGTTGGTGCAAAGAAAAGGGTTGTGATTGTGGCATGCAACAAGGTTGGAAACCAATGTCTCCCTGTTCATTTTCAGAAATATGAACACCAGAGAGCAAGCAATATACCCTGCAGTCCTGCAAGGAATTTCAGTATTGTGGTAGAATAGCTTTCTACAGTCAGACCAATGATTCTGTGACAAACTTTGCTTGTTGCTATACTGATTATTAAAATTTCATGATGAGTTAAGATTCATTTCTAAATTCAGTGACTTTGGATGGTGTTAGTGCTAATTATGAATTTAGTTTTCTTTTTGATTCATTATTGAAATAAGAATCATACAGAGTTCAATAACAAATGCTGCGTCCACATTTCTAATATTTAATCTATGAAAGAAACATCTGATTGATGAGCACTTCTAACTAGCTGTCTAATATTTGGATTTTGGAGCTACTTGGTTTGTACTTGTGTTTTTGACTGTACGACCACTCCCACTTGTATCTTTCACAAGAAAAACTGAGGGATTTTGTATTTGTATCCTTGAAACAGAATTGTGTAACTTTGAGTTCCCTTTCTTCCTGTTTATTAAAGAAAGAAGTGTAACAGGAAACAGTATATTTGCTGTTAGACCTACGCAAGCAAATGTTTGTGGTCACTATGTCCTCAGCCAATTTGTTTTTAATTTGTACACTCTTGATTTTGGTTTGTGAAAATTGAAACACATACATGAGGTGTATTTAAGTTTCAGCGTTTGTCAGTTAAATAAGTTAGCACAACCAGACGAGGCTCATATGTTTTGAGGCCGGGGATTTGACATTACTGTGAATCAGTTTCTGTTTTAAAGGCTGTTTCTTGCTATAGCTACTCTGACCGTCCTCTGAACTTCCTTCTTTTTAAATTAAATTTTAGGCACGTATTCTTCTCTTGGTAAAATGTTCATCAGCTGTTCTGACTCTCCAGCTTTTATCTCAATTAAATATAAAACCCTCATTACCATTACATTACCAGGAACTTATGATATCCTTACAGTTCCACAAATAAACATATCAGAAACTTGTGTAATCTGGTGTGGTGCAGTGTTGTTTTTTTCTGTCCACTAATGCTCATTAAAAGCTATGGTTATCTTTGAATGCAAAGAGGAAGGAAAATGCAGTTAAAATGTTTGTCGTATTTTTGCACAAGACACAGTTGCAGTGAGATGAGATCAGTATCATATTCTTAACTGGCTGACTAAACATAAAATACAGAAGTATATTCAACACATAGAGGAAGTGTTACTTTTAAGTTAACCCTACCATCTTACATTTTTACAAGGGAAATGGTTGATGAAACATACACACACAAAAGCTTTAAAACCTTAAAACCACATTAAAAAACCTTCCAGTCAAGCAAACAAACAACCGGTCAAGCTGTAACTTACATCCATATTTGCCCAGAATCACAAAACCCTGCTTTAGTGTCAATAAGTACTTGACAAAAAGCTTTGAGTCATAAAAGTCACAAGTGTTTTATGTTATTGAACATTTGTGTGAACTATCAAAGTCAGAATCACAATCAGAATACTTTAATTATGTGGGTTACAGTTGCTCCAAGAAATAACAGTAACACACTAAACTAATTAAATAATATATTGCAAAGTCGAAAATGTTAAGAAATAGCTCTAATATATATATATATATATATATATATATA